AATCTTTGCCTTCTTAACATTTCAAATTTCCAGGGAGGAGATTGCCCATCTTTCTCCAGTAGGGCAGCAGGTGAGTTGAAATCTTATGCCTTTGCGTTGGCAGCACGAAGCTTTATTTAGCTCAACTCTTTATCACTTTGTCACTAGGGTTCCCATTGTATTGGTTTTCTGTACTATCGAGTTAGAACTGATTTACAGCTGACCCTCCCTCCAGAGGGTTTTCAGAAGCAGTACATTGTTGGAGTGATGACTGCACACCTTTCTTTCTCTTGCATAGCAACTGGTGGCTTCAAACCATATGCCTCTTGAGATGGCTGATAGCACAACTCTGCATATGGTACCTTTGAGGTTGATCTAGGGAAGGAAGGTAGGAGAAAAAGTCAAAAGAAACTGCTTATGTATTGTAGCGAATCAGGAAAGAAAAAAATCAAAGAAAACTATTAACCCACATTGACACAGTTTCTTTTTATTCTGGTTTACACCCATTCCTGAAACACACATCCCTTCCGCCCCGGTTGGGTTAAGGTCAAGGCTCCTCCTGCCGCACAGCCCGGTCCAGGTGTTACTAGACTTCTACTTCCGGCCGCCGCGAGCCCGAGACTTTTTCCCGCCAAGACGCGGACTTCCGCCCCTTCGGCCCGGGTCCGCGTGGGACTGCGCATGCGCGGCGCCGCTTCCGAATTCGCAGGGCTGCTGCGGGGGCCGCGCCCGGGCGGACATGGAGGGCAGCTTGCTGCGCCTGTGCCCGCTGCTCCTGCCCCAGAACCGGGAGAAGACCATCTACGAGGGGTTCATCTCTGCACAGGTACCCTCCGGCCCTTTTACCCCTTGCCAAGGCCCTCTGAAAGTCTGGGGAGGTTTGGTAACACTTGTAGGGTTGGAGGGTGAGCGCGTATGCTACACAGCAGAGAGCTCGGGTTCGATGGCAGCAACTTCAGCAGGACGAGTCTCGAGCGGCCGCCCCGTGACGTCACCGAGAGGCGGGGTTTCGGGCCACGCCCCGTGCCGCCTGCTCTCTGTTCTGCATCAACCCAAACTTTTCCTCTTTTTCAGTTCAGTTTTAGTCTCCTAATTCCTCTCCCCTATCTGGTGCCTCCAGTTGGTTGGGGCCTTTTTTACCCCCTAGGACATTTTCAATAGAATTATTGGTCTAAGATTATTGATTAAAATAAAGCCTTTGCTTAGTGGCTTGATTACTAAGTGCCTGCGCATATGATTTTTTTTTTTTTTTTAAAACAACCCAGGGTACTGAGTTTGGAAGTTTACAAAGCTCCTTCCAGGTGTAAGTCCTCATTTAATTATAAATCCTTTGAAGCAGGTGGTGGTTGTGTACCATACAGTCAGAACCGACCTCCAGCTGACCCTCCACTGGGCTTTCAGAGCCAGTTAATCACCCATCACCCGGGAAGAGATTGCCTATCCTTCTCCTGCAGAGCAGCTAGTGGCCTTGAACTGCGTGCCTTTGGGAGCACAATGCAGCTTCTTGACCTTAGGCCACCGTCGTCGTTGTTGTGTACCATCAAGTCAGGACTGAAAGACCCATAGGGACCTTCCAGTGAGTTTTCAGAGGCAGTTGATCACCGGGGAGGAGGTTGCCCATCTTTTTCTCCGTGGAGTAGCTAGTGGATTCGAACCACGTGTCTTAGGGACTGCAGCGCAGCTTCCTGCCTCTGTGCCACCAGAGCTCTGAAAAGTCATGGTTCCTATTATTATGCAAGAGTTTGGAAACAATCTAGATAGGAGCAGGTGGAGCGTTGAATGAGTTTGCTCATGATCACAGCGTGTCTTACTCTTGGGCATATTTCTGTCCTGAGCTCTCCTGTGGCCCCTGCATTGCACCAAGGGGTTATAATTTGAGCTACAGATACTTCTCTTTGGTTTAACCCCCATCCTCTCCCACTGCCGCCCATCTTTGAGAATGGGGCAATATCCTAAGAATTATCATGCTTTTCAGTCTCCTCAAATTACATAGTCGTCATCTCTCAGAAATGCTAAGTGAATTAATCACCCAGTTCACTTGCCAACTGAAACTTCTCTATGCCCTTAAGAATAAGCTGAGGCAGTCTCCTTTTTTAGCTTACGAGTTTTGCAGACTTCGTAAACAGGCTGCTGATCAAAAGGTGTGTGGTTCAAATCCACGTGCTGTTCTGTGGGAGAGTGATGGGCAGCCTCCTGGAAAGATTAATTAAGATCTTGGAAATCTGCTAGGGAGTGGTCTTCCAGTTCCTAGTTGGAATTTACTGGATGATAGTGGATTTTGTTTGGTGTGGTTTTAAACCCAGGAGACAATTGCCTTGAATCATAGTTAACTGCAGGCAGTGAATGGGTAAAATAAGCAGAAGGAACCCTGATGGTACAGTGGTTCAGTGCTTGTCTATTAACTAAAAGTTTGGCAGGTTCAAACCCACCGACCTGCTCTGTGGGAGAAAGACTTAGCAACTTGCTTCTATAAAGATCACAGCCAAAAAACTCCTCCCCTTGTCACATGAATTGAAATTGATGTGGCGGCAAGTACTAAGAGTGTAGGGAGCACTGGTGGCTGGCTGGCCTAGTGGTAAGAAGCTGCACAGCAATCCCAAAGACAGGTGGTTCAAATCCATCAGCTGCCTCTGCTGGAGAAAGGTGGGCAGTCTGCCTCTGAAAACCGGTGGGAGACTCAGCTATGGGTTGGTTTCAACTTGACCTCACACAGCAGCAGCTCGCTTGAAGGGAGTTCTGGTGGTTTAGTTGGTGGGGAGATGTGCTGCTAGGCCAAGAGGCAGGCAGTTCAAATCCACCAGCTGCTTCTCAAGAGAAAGATGGACATTGTCCCTGCATGTACTCCTTCGACTTGGAAACGACCCCTAGTGGATCCTCAAGCAGATTGTCAGGCACTGTAAATTACAGGACAGTGTCTGAAAATCTGCTTTAGGATCAGCTGGGATCGTTCCCAACTTGAGGGTACACAACAACAACAGCAGCAGCAACAACTTAAAAGACATTCTGGTGGTAATTGGTAGGTGATTGCACTGCCACTCTAAAGATTCTAACTTGATGGTACCTAACAACTACAATATTATATACACACACGCACGTTTAGAGAAACACACATCTTTTTTTTTTTTTTTTTTTTTTTCCAGCTGCTGGTAGATTTGAACTACCAACCTTATCATTGGCATCCAAGAGCTTAAGTAATGTGCGCAGGAGTTTCAGGACATGGCAACGTGGAGTCCACACATGTGTCGGGAATTATGCCTTCTCTAGAATTCTGCGTGAGAGATGTGATTCTTTTCCCTTTCTTTTTTGAATACGTAAATCTCAAGAGTTTATTATCTTGCTAACAAAACAAGATGAAGCATAGAACTGGATCCCTTGCGCCTTTCACTTCTTAACTCCTCCAAGTTCAGAGCACCTGCGTCTTTTGATAGCCAACATTCTTTTAGATCTGTAGTTTGCCTCAACACATTCAAATCTTAACACAATCTTCTTTGTAGTTTTTGCCCTTTCCCGGAAAATTGGCCTTGTCGGCTCACCGTAGCCACTCAGCTTCCAATCATAACTCCTCTTTGCCTGTGCAGACAGAGAACCTTTGCACTTCTTGTTCTCTGACACTCTGTAGGATTGGAGTTTACTAGCCAGATGCACTTCTTGTGCATCTGGCTAGTTTTAGGAATGGTGACCACACTTGCAGGAGCCCTGTTTATATAAAAAGGGTCCAGTTATCTTTAAAAATTGTTCATAACTTCATGGATTTATGAATACTCTTTAAAAAATTTGGACCTGTAATCTAACACTATTTTGTTGCCCTAATTGTGCTGGTTTTGCCAGCTTGTCTCTTAAAAAGACAGGAATAAATTTAAAATGTCTTTTATCCTTAGAAATGAACCTGCTGTTTCTGGTGTTTATAGTGAATGTCGATTTGTGGGGAGCTCTGGAGGTGTCTCACCGTCCTTGCCGCATTTGACCCTGGGGTTGCAGGCACCGTGTCATTCTATCTTGTGTTGAGTGTCTTCCCTCAATGTGGATAGGGTACAGGATGGGGCAGGTTGACTGTGAGTCATAGATGACTCGATAGCTCCTAACAACAACTGATGGTGTAGTCTGCAAGGAGTTGTGCTGCTAACCTGAAGGTGGCCTGTTCAAATCCACCAGCAGCTCCTCAAGAGAAAGATGGGCATTCTCCTTCCATGTGCTTTATAGCCTCTCAAAATCTGCTGGGCAGTGAGCTATGAGTTGATTGTGACCCAAAGGCAGTGAGCTGATGTATTTTCTTAAAATTCTTTAACATTTCCTGTGGTGCAAGTTTATCTGTTTTAATTGTGACATGATGTGTTTCTTTGACCTTTGGAAGATACTTTTGCTGATTTATAGAATTCTTACTTGATATTTTTTTTTAAACCTCTCAATAAAGGTATTACTTCTCTGTCTTGGATTACTTCCTTTGAGAGAGCCTCTGTTCAGGTCTGATCTCTGTTTCTCTGCACCAGCACCAAACTTCCTGATTTTGAGTTGATTCCACCTCACGGTTATATGCCTTTGGCTTTCTGAAAGTATAAATAATTTCTGGAGGAGACCCTCCCCCCCCATCTTTTTCCCTTGGAACAGCTGGTAGACTCAAACCACTGACTTTTTGGCTCACAGCTCAACCCATAACACACTAAACCCCCAGCTCCTGACTTGTTCCTCTGTAAATAGATATTTTTAGGGTTTTTCTTCTTTTTTTTAAAAATTAATTTTAATAGACATTTACAGAGGTTCTGGATTTCCATTCATTCATTGCCGCACTTTTCCCCCTGCCCACCCCTCCACACCAGTTCGCTCCCCTCTCCGAAAAGAAAAAGAAAAAAAATCCTTCATTAGTATACAATTCCCCCATCCCTCCCCCCAGTCCCCCACCCTGAGTACACTATGCAACCTTAATTCTGGACTCCTGTGCTAACCATAATACTCAATCATATATCGCCTCTAATCTGTTCTTTCCCTCATCTGTTTCAATACAATATACATAATTTATCCAGTTTTTTCTGTCATACCCCAACCCTGATGTCAGACCCATTCTACAACAGTGGCACCATAGGGTATTTGTCCCTTTGCGACTGAGGTATTTCACTCAGCAGGTTTTAGTCACATTTCCGTGGTGTCATGTTTCCTCGTGTTTGTCCTGCACAGGGGAGTTTGTGGAGATTCTTGTGTATTTGGAAAGCAGTTCAGCTGTTCATTAAGATCTTGTTCCTATCTTTTCTCTTTATTGGAGACTAAGTTGAATGGGTATGAATGTATCCAATTTTGTTGCTGTATCTAAGAAATAAAACCCACTCTTGTTGAGCTTATGCTGCCCCATAGCGAACCTGTGAGATGGAGTTGGACTGTGCTGTAGTATTTCTAGGTCTCTAACTTTTTATGGAAAGAAAATCGGAGTGGCTGATGAGTTTGAACTGCCAACTCTTTGGTTCGCAGCCGAGTGCTCTAACTAGTATACCACCAGGACATGTTAGTTGTTATTGTTTCCAGTTGAGTTGGAATTGACCTCTAGCTCACCCTTCAGGTGGTTTTCAGAGGCAGCTAATCACACGGGAGAAGATTGTTGGTTAGCTGACAAAGTTCATCTACATTCCGTTCCACACTGTTCTTAATTCACATTGTGTTTCATACAACCATTCTCATGTGTTATGTTTTTATAAAATGAATCACCACTGGACCTGGTCTATCATTGCCCATTCTTTTCAGGTCCCCACCGGATCCATCCCATTTCCTTTACCCCCCACCCTCCACCCACCAAATTGTGCAATCCTGTGATATCACCCCTGCCCATCCTCACCCCTCTGC